CACTCACCTCAGCCTCCCAAAGGCGCAGGATTACAGGCTGAGCCACTGAGCCTGGCTCATGATAAGGAGATTAAACAACAGTTCACTTTCCTCACAGACCAGGGAAAGCAAAGGAGGTGCTGAGGATCCAGTGGGGCAGGCCACCTTCTTGTCAGAGCCTGGAAATAGTCATGAGGGAGTCCCCATGGAAGAGCCCATCAAGAGCAGGGCCACCCTGGGCTGAAGTTGAGCTGAAAGGACAGCCCCTCTGAGAAGGGCAAGCCCAGACTGGGGGTTTAAACACAACTATAAACAGAGAGTCCATAATTTTTGTATAGTAAATGACAGAAAATCACCAAATTGTGCTAGTGTCACTTAGGACCTAAGTGCCTTAATTTTTGGCCTTTTGTGTGATGTGATTTTATGTAATTGTCACGTTTAGAAGTTAATGTTATGTCTATTTTGCTGGTCAAGTCCCTGAAACGGTGGCTATTAATATCAGGACTTGGGACACCATCTGGTGGCCACTCATATGCATTACAGAGAAAAGTTCCCCTCAGCCCCTACCCTGCTCCAGCACCCCCATAAAATACTGTAATTATTGTAGTAGACACAAATACCCCCAGTCTCTCTGACCACAAAACAAAGACACCCAAAATCTTCTCTTAACCTTATTTCGCATTCCTATTACTATTTAATGTTTTTAAACAGTTAACCCACACTCTGCTGACCCAATTTCTTCACAAATCCTGCCTTTGTGGACCCTTCTGTGCACTTGGTCACACCCTGGGGAGCAGCGGGCTGTGGTGTCACTCTTCCTCCAAGTCAGGTTTCCTTCAAAATGCCCAGCCATCGGCTTCCAACCCTACCGCTCTCCTGAAATTGCCCTCCTGAAGTTCACCAGTGTCTTCCCAAGTCTCCAATCCAAATGGCTCAACCTTATCATATTCTCCTTGAACTTTTCTTCAGGAGTGTTTGATATTGTTGACAACTTTCTCCCTGAAGCTCACTTGCCTCCTTTAGTCTCCACGACAAGGAGCATTCTCTAATATCTACACCTGTGCATCTTGGGAAACTTTAACAGTCTCTTTTGGGGACTGTGGAATAGTTAGAGTTGGAAGCTGCTTCATATTAGCTGTGTAGACTCTATGGAATTGTCTTATTTGGTTCTCTAAGAGAGAACACTGGTGCCTCTTAGCAAATTCTGACCCAGAGGGAGTTATTTTCAGAGTTGGTCGTCCAGTGTTGAATACTCAAGATACTGACAGTTCCCAAGTGGAACACATGATCATCAGATAAAACTCCCCACCCCTACCCTGAAGACACTGTCAAATCCCCCTCCTCAGCCTCTCTTGCTAATAGACCCTGCCACTTAGCATGGGTTTGAGGGTAACGGATTGGTGCACGGGGGGCTGAGCTGGGAACAAGATAGAAAAGTCTGTGCAATGTGGAGGGGGCTGTGATCCTATAAAACTTTGTACAAACCAACTCATTTGAACCAGGCTTAGAAATTGTACTACTGAAATTGCTGCTTGTGTATCTTGTGAGGCTGGACTTGTCTCCCAGCATTCTGCAAGCCAGATGGGCCTTGGCTTTCATTACGTTACCTGGTGGCACCAGGAAGCCATGACCGCTAAGGGTGGGTGTGGGGTATCAGTCCCAGGACCACCATTCACTCCCTCCATATCCCCTGCACGGGGAAGCTGTAATGGGGATCCTTGGATCAACAGACACCTGGACTCTCCTGTTGATCTTAGATCACACCCTTCCTTGGTCACCTTTGCAGTTGGGAACAGCTTTCTGGGTTTGGCTTCTTAGACCAAGACTGGCACAAGGGCTAAACACAAAGCGTGCCTGGGTTGTTGCTGGGTCAGGTCCCAGCAAGTGGGAAATCAAGAGAAGCCCTCCCCGCATCCCTATGTGGGCAAGGTATAGGTCCTGGTGGAGCGGGATGGGCAGCAAGCAGTCATGGTGAAGGTCAAACTCCAGGCATCCAAGACCCCTCACCATACAGCATCATTTGCCCATCTAAGTTCCCGCCCTTTAAAAAAAGTTGCAAATATATGGCCATTCTGCACAGACCAGCTGGCCATGAAGACAAAAGATCATGAAAATCACTACTTCTGCCATCAAGCAAGCACTAGTAATAACAACACACTTATAGACATAACCATGCTGAAGAATTTGTGAGGTACTTGAGCCTGGTGGAGGCAGACAGCAACCACATTTGACTCAGTTTCCTCTTGCAAGGTGAACATCAAGATACCACAGAGCCAACAGCGCTAAGGTGATGTAGGGCCCAGCCTTAACTGTATCACCATCCCCATATGAGACTATGTCTGATAAGTTCTCCAGCTTTTGTGGTTAATATCAACATATGCACCATGGACAGTTTGACCCTGATCTGTATCATACCCTGATGCAAATAGCAGGCACGACATTCCCACAACTTAGATTCCCCTCATACTTTCCTCCCAGCCAGGGCTCTCCCAAGGGGCATTTTCCTGCTCCCCATTTCCAGGGCCCTGGATTCTAGAAGCTGGGGGGATTGGGGATTCGTGGCTGGGCGGGAAGACAAAGCACAGCCCTCAGGTGAATAGACAAAGACAGGAATAAGGGAAGCAGTAAACCCCTGGCAGCTGGGAGCAGAGGGATGGAGGGCGAGAAGGGATTGGGTAAGGAAGGCAGGAGGAAATACTGAGGGGAAGGCAAACTCCTGGCAGAGTGGATGCCAGTTATTGGAATGAAGAGGGCTGTGACAAGGAAAGACACATGCTGTTCCGAACCAGTACAGGGACCCCGTGGAAATGCCTGTGGGGTGAGGCCTCCACCTGTGCAGACACCAGGCCTGGGGAGATTAAGGGAGGTGAGACCTGTCACCCCAGCCCTTTCACCCGCTGAGAGTCACCCTAACAGGACCAAGCCAAGTTTTCAGGACTACTCTTACCAATATCCATCCCCACTTCCTCCTTCCTGATGGGACACTGTGCAATGTACCGAGCTGATAAGTCACATTTCACAACCTCTCTTGCAGAAGGTATTGGGTGGGCTCCTTCTTTGCAATCCCCCTCATTTCCTTCTTTCTGTTAACTGGAATATGGGCATGATGGCCAGAGCTCCAGCAGACATCTTAGACCATGAAGCAACCTTAAGGATGAAGCCTCCTGCTAAGGATGATATAGCAGAAGGAAGAGAGAAGTCTGGTTTAAGATGTTTGTAGGTCCACTGTGCCAACACTGAACTGCTATCTCCAAGAGGTGTGTG